CATGTAGCTGTGTGCATAACTACGCCAGTTAGTGCTTAATCCTTGTGATGACTGGTGCTGATTGACTCCCCATAACGTGGGCTATTATGGCAAATCCGAATTATCATAATCAGTTCTCAGTGTGACAAGAAATCAATCAGGAACTTTGTGAATATACAACTGTAAATAAACATAATAAATAAATAAATATATAATGTGAAAGATATAAACTGTAAGAATCGCTGCCTATGCGAAACCTTACACCAACCTTTACATCTGCAATATTTCCACCGGCGATCGAACCGACTTCGAACAGCTCGCGAACGATGTTGTTCAGCATTTCTTGAATGCGCCTATTGTGCAGCGAGGTCCCATCTTTCATCTGCTGCAGTTCACCTTGGATTTCGTTCAGCGACGACTAAAGCATCAGTAAGAAAAATTTTCAACGTCATGTCATGGTAAAAGACAATATAAAATCAAAATCACCAATTTGCGGCCAAGTTCGTCGGCAAGAGTTTCATTCTCTTTGCACTTCATATCGACCTCAAGCGACTTTTGATCATAGTTGAGCGCCAGTTCCTCAAGTGCTTGAAGCACCTCCTTCACTTCGTCTTTCGCCGCCTCATTCTCGAGTTGGATGCGAGACATTTCCGCCTGCAAGATCTCATAGTCGCTCTTCGTCTGTTTGATCAGGTCTTCTTGTTCGGCCAGCTGTTGCTTCAGACGTTCAGCGATCAGTGAATGCTGCTGAATTTCGTCATCCTAAAAGGGCAGTGCACATTAATTCGGTATCAAAGAGCCGAAACGTGTACCTTTTCGTCAAGCTGCTGGTAGAGCCGCGCGCGTTCCTCCTCATATTTCGAACGCTCGTCGTCAACCAACGACTGACTAACGTTGACGACGTTGGCTGCTGGCAATGCTGGGAAAGACACCGTTGACTCGGCGATCATCGACTCCGTCGCAGAAGGTGCCAAGCTCTCGCTCACCTCTGACAAGCAAACCAGTTCGTTTTCTGGTACAGTTTCACCTAAAACAAGGTTTCAGGTAAAGAACTATAAAAACGAACCTCAAGGCTTAACAAACAGACCTTGCCGCCACCTCTCCAACTCCTTCTGTACCGCTGCCAGTTGTGATCTGAGTTTTAACACTTTGTCATGCTCGCGTCCGTAGCGTCTTTTCCATTCCTCCGCTGTCAGTTCCTCGTTCACCTGCACAACGTTCTTGATGGTCTTTGCTCTAAAGAAGCATGCTCAACTAATGAAGATAACAAGCAAGACGATGCTTCATCATGAAAACTGGACACGGGGATGATCACGTCACAAAGCATATTAGATTTCATCTGAGTAGATGGCATTCCTAGACACAGCAACAAGGAGTCAGTGCAGTACGCAAGGAAAACAGCGCTGAGAAGAGTTCACATATAACTGTTTTTATTAACCAGGTTCCATGCTAGTGGATGCCAAATAATTTGATTTTAATGTCCAGGGGGTCACTACAATAGGCCAAAACTATGTCATATTTTACCACTTGCAGATACAGTGTGCAGTAGCGTATGCATATTTGTTTCAAATAATTTTATTGGACAGAACAATGCGCTGTACTTCACCAATAATGACAAGTGCCCGCTGCAGAAACATCACTCGAAAATTTAATGGACATTACAAGCAGAGAACATGTACAGCGGCTGCGAAATAACATGCGGCTCTCACCTGCTTTAATGACCTCTTAAGCGTCTATTAACATCATTAAAGAGTAGATGTGATACGACAGCTTAAAGAGTTTGCGACTTAAACATTCACACTAGTACGGATATCACCTACAATAGTCAGTTTCACATACTACAGTACGGTTTGAAACAAACCTGGCGCCAAACAACAGCGTCGATTTCGTTTCCCCCTCGTTAAACGAAGCTGGGGAACAGCAGATGATGATCGTCGTCCGAGCATTGCCTCCGAGCGACTCTTGTAAGATCCTGGTCAGTTTGCTGTCGCGGTATGGAACATGACTTTTCTGAAATAACCAGAAACGAAACATAAACCACCAACAATGCCATCAACGTGACGCACCGTTCCTTCGGCTAATGCTGAAATGACGTTGCCCAAAGCGGACAGAGACTTGTTAATGTTCTTCGCTTCGTCTAGAATCGTACCTTCAGCGCCGGTCTTGCTGACCTGTTTAAGTGAGAGTAAAAACAGTTTCATTATTATGATTAATACAACTAACCTTTTCGCTACCGGCCAAATCCACGAGATACAGTTTGCCAGAAAGCTTCTTCTGAGTAAGGGAATTTTCTTGTCTAATATTTATTAAGAAAACGCTGTGACTTCGGGAACTGTGTTCATTCATGTCTAAATTAAATGAAAAATCAACAAAAGCAATATTAAAATATCAGCAACGAAATTGCTGAATCAAAAATAATAAATTCACAAAAGCCTAATCTAAAAAGCAATCATTATTTCAGGCAATTGTGCATGATGTTTCACAAAACTGAACTAATTACTGAACCGATTTGCCATGACAAGCAATTTAAGCTTTTCGTTGAAGAACTTTAACGGAAGAGGTAAAGTTCTTTAGCTTCCGGGTGATGGATATGTCAATAAAGGGAACTGTGGAATATTTGCTTTTGAAATTTTCTGACCATTCATTAGTAATGTAGCGGATCAGAAGACAGTACGATGCTCTTCAAAGTAATAATCTCACGTGAAATAGTTATAATGTTTCGAAGGGAAAGTGCTTCAGTGTAAAGAGAAGTTTTACTTGAGATCACGGATTTCAATCACAAGATTAGTCAACTGCGACTTCAAAAAATGTTTTTAATCGATCTTTGATAGAAATAACGGTGCTGACGCAAAAGATTCAGTGACTAAGTCTCCATACTAGTATCCAATTAGTCATGACTTTGCTCACGGTCTTGTCGAATGAGATCGATCACTAATTCAGCACGGATTTGACAAATGCTGAACTCATAACCGTCTTGAAATGAGTTCAAAAGAAGATCAAAGATTCACAATAAGACTGCTGGCTTGATGTGAGGCTAAGGAAACGAACATACATGCCTCCGTCGTCCGGGGCGAACTGTTTAAAGCAAACTTCTGTTAGGTCTTCCACGTTGA